TCATCTCTGCTGCCTTTGACATGTCCATGCATGCGCATTTGTCTCAAAAACTTTTCGCTGTTTTAAGAACATTAATTATCATACTGTGACATGTTGGAGATGTATTTCCTAATGGAGTGAAGAAAGCTATTCAAGGACCTGCACCTTTCACAGACCTTATCGGTTGAAATCAGCAACTGCTGATTAGGCAGATCAAAGTCCGCTGTTGTTGACTTCAGCACTTCCCTCCACTTTCACTAGTCTAAATCAGGGGTTTTCAATCTTTTAAATGCCACTAATATCATCATCCTTGTGCGAGCGACATCCATCCAAAAATTTGAAAGGCATCTATATATTTTCTTGTATACAGATTATACTGTGAAAACATTTTTATTTACAAAACATTAAATATTTTGTTTTTATTAAGTTGCATTGTTACTTTTACTATTCATTACAGTACTGTATTTATTCATTTATTTAGGCTACTCATCCATTTTAATGTTTTTATTTACTCATTTATGTTTATATATTTTAATCCAATGCTTATTCGTTTATTTTAATGTAATTTTTTTATTATTTCTACATTATTGTTTTCTATTCGCCACAGTTCGGTATTGATTTAATCATCTATTTACTCATTTATTTTAATCTTTTTTTATATATATATAATTAATTAATTTACTTACTCCTTTATTATATAACCTATTGATTTTCGGTATTTATTCATTTTTTAACACTTCTTCTGTAAACATTTCTATTGACCCCCAGCATTCTTTTGCAGCCCCCGGGGGTCCTTGGACCCCAGTTTAAAGGGGTCATAATAATGTACAGTATGTGGAAAATAATGTGTTTTTTTAACTTTAAACCGCATAAACACATTTCATTACACCAAATACACCAAATAATGTTCTTTTTAGCAGCATCATATGACCCCTTTAAAAACCCCTGGTCGAAATGTAAAGATCAGTGGCCTAATCGACTAACATCATGCCTTGCCAAGGGAATTGATCAAACCCTATGAAAAAAGTCTGTGGCATGTTTTCAACACAAAGTAATGCCTTACATATAGGATCGTTTGTGCACTTCGCTGTAACACTGTTACATGCCCTGACATTTATCATGAAAGTGCCTGTAAAATCACTGTTTACACCACTGACTACAACAAAGCCCTGATCCTGCTGTACTCTCTCCAAATAAGTGGGCGTTACAATATAAACACTGAAGGCAATACCACACACCAATGTTATCTCGGTTCCTTAAAAGGAAAACAATCATTTAAAGTATTCCTGTGCTCTTTAAAGAGAAAAAAAAACAGCTTTCTTTGAGCATAAACCTTGTGAACAGTGAAGCATCCCTGACATTAATTCAATACCAAACCAGCGATGCATTTCAAAGCTAAAATATGATATTCACATGAGCAAGTTTAATTTTTAAACACTTTACTTCCATAAAATCTCGATCTTCATAGGAAAAAGGGAGATATGAACAGCGAATCGTAAATGCTTGTAGTTGTCAACTCTCTGCTAGCATTTAGCTTAGCCAGACAGCAAATACGACACAGAGGAGCTCACAACACAACAAATATTGACGCTTCTAAACGTATACACGATGAAGCATGTGTCTACATATTGAAGTTACTCTATACTGTAAAGTGAAACTAAAAAGCGCCGTAAATGCCTCATTAGCTTCGTTAGACAGAGCTAGGCTAATATAACCGCATAGTCCCTGCTAATGCTTCTTCGGAGTATGGAATACATAAAAGTAGATTTCTTACCTTGAACAGCTGATTTTCCAAATGAAACCCACACTCCGTGCGTGTTTGGTTTACACAGACATAAGAAACATTCAGTTTGGTGGCTGTGGCGGGTGAGAGTCCGTCACACTGTGGCCGTTAGCGGCTAGGCGCTAACACACCTGATCATCACATACACACTTGAACTAACGTTACACTGACTGATGGGCCGCGAACACAAGACCACTGGTCCAAGTCAACTCAGTCCCTTACAATGATTGAGCAGAGAGGACATAGAGGGTTTGTGTTTGCAGACAGTTGATCATGATGTAGTAGGTAGGTAGGTGTAGAGAGAGAGAGAGAGAGAGAGCCGCACGCCCTCACAAACCAGCTATTACCTTGACCTATATATATATATATATA